CAGATTAACACATTCATCATCTCACATATTTACCTTTTTTATTTTTGGTGAGAACATTTAAATTCTATTCTAATGGCAAATTTCAATTGTACAATATGGTGTTTTCAGCTGTAGTCACCATGTTATACATTAGATCCTCAAACTTTATTCATCTTATAACTGAAAGTTTGTATCCTTTTGCCAACTTCTCCCTATTTCCACCTGTAACGGCAGACCCTGGCAATCACTTTTCTATTCTTTGTTTCTATGAGTTAGACTTTTCTTTTTTTTTTTTTGATTCCACATATAAGTGATACCATGGAGTATTTGTCTTTCTCTGTCTGATTTATTTCACTTAGCATAATGCCCTCCAGGTTCATCCATGTTGCAAATGACAGGATTTCTTTTTTTTTTAAAGGCTGAATAATATTCCATTTATGTTCTAATATACTTATATTATATTATACCTATTTATGGGTATAATATAAATTATATAATATGCATAATACATATAAATATTTATAAGTATATACCACATCTTTATCCATTCATCCATTGATGGCCACTTAGGTTGTTTCCATACCTTGGCTATTGTGAATAATGCTGCTGTGAATGTGGGGCTGCAGATGTTCCTTCAGGGCAATGACTTCATTTCCTTTAGATATGTACTCAGCAGTGGGATTGCTGGATCATGTAGTTAGCTCTATATTTTAAAGAGGAGGAACTAACTGAACACATTGAGGACCAAATAGAAGTTGTCCTTGGTGGTTGGTGGTGGTCAGAGCAAGGGTCCCCAACTCCAGGGCCATGGACCAGTACCAGTCCGAGGCCTGTTAGGAACTGGGCTGCACAGCAGGAGGTGAGCAGCGGGCGAGCCAGCCAAACTTCATCTGCCGCTCCTCATCGCTCCCCATCGCTCCGCATCGCTCCCCATAGCTCCCCATCGCTCCCCATCGTTCCCCATCGCTCCCCATAGCTCCCCATCGCTCCCCATCGTTCCCCATCGCTCCCCATAGCTCCCCATCGCTCCCCATCGCTCCCCATAGCTCCGCATCACTCCCCATAGCTCCCCATCACTCCCCATAGCTCCCCACCACTTCCCATCGCTCCCCATAGCTCCCCATCGCTCCCCATAGCTCCCCATAGCTCCCCATCATTCCCCATCACTCGCATTACTGCCTGAACCATCTCCCCTCAACCCCCGCGGTCTGTGGAAATATTGTCTTCCACGAAAGCGGTCCCTGGTGCCAAAAAGTTTGGGGACCGCTGGGTCAGAGGACAATGGTTCAATGATGAGAGCTGGAAATCCATGGCTCGGAGCTCTGGCTTCGCCTTTGCGGTTCTTAGGGGATCAGTATCATATTGTCACAATTATTCCATCTAGTACAACCCTCTTAGGTTTGTGGAGAGGAAACATAACTAAAAGTGATTTATAACATTTTAAAAATAATAAAGTGTTCTTTTTAGCCTATGACAAATTTCTGTCTATAGGAGGAAGGTCAGCAAAATTGTCAAATAGTCTTGATGATCCTTGATAGTTTTCTCCATAATCTGACCCTGTTACTTTTTCTCTATCCACCATCCAGCTTTATGGAGATTTTATTGACATATAACATATGTAAGTTTAAGGTGATGATTTGATACACACACATACATACACACATGGTAATCATTTTGCTATATATATATATATATATATATATTGCAAAATGATTACCACAGTAAGGTTAGTTAACACTTCCATCCCCTCACATAATTACCATTTTTTTTGGTATGGTGATAACATTTAAGATCTCCTGTCTTAATAACTTTCAAGTATATGATACTGTGTTGTTAATCATAGTCACCATGCTGTACATTAGATGCCCAGACACAATCAACTGCTTCTTCCTCCCCCCTCCCCAACTGAGCTCTCCTAGCAAAACTTGACTCTGGTTAAACGTCTCTGCCTACTCTACCCCTCCACCCATTCCTGCACCCAAGCAGCTGAATGTGGCTGAAGAAAAACACACAATCATCTTAACACACCTTACTCTAAATTTATGACATCATATCTTATGTGGACTCATAGGATGGCCTGGCAGTCCTACCTCATTTTCCCCAAGAATTCACTCACAGGCTCTTCAAGATGACTATTCCACACTTTTTCCTGTTGCTTCAAACCACCACCATTTCTCTTCTCCTTTCCAGTTTTTTATTTGACTAAGAAAAGAAATATGATAACTTTCACGTATTCCCACCACCAAATCTACCCGCCCGTCGGCACCTGTGCCTGCTACAGCGGAGGATGTAGTTGAGCAGGCCGTGCACTGGACCCCCTCCCCTCTCTGTAATAGCCAAGAAGCCAACCTTATATGGTGGCCGCTACGTGCCAGGCTTAGTTCTAAGTACCTGATGTATTAACTAATGTAATCCTTACAACAGCCCTGGGAGGTAGGACTCATACCAGTTTTATAGTGAGAGAGCTGAGGCACACCAAAATTCAGTAACTTTCCCCAAATCACGCAGCCATAGTAAGTTGGTGTGGCTCCAGGGTCCATGTGTGTAACCTCTCCATTATGCCTCATCTCTTGGGACATTCCTCCAGCCGCTCTCCCCTCTCTCCTGCGTCATCAATTTCCCCCTCTCTACCAGGTCTTACTCATCAATTACAAGCAAATTCTAGTAGCTCCTATTTTAAGAACCTACCCTTGACCCCATATCTCCTTCCAGCTACCCCCTAATGTCCCTGTTCTCTTTTTCAAATTTCTCGTGTTTTCTCTATTTGCTGTGTCTACTTCCATTTTCCTAATTTTCTTTGGAAGCACTTCAGTCTGACTTTTGTCCCTACCATTCCAAGGAAACAAGTTTTGTCAAGGTCACTAATGACTTCCCAAATGTCAAAGCCAGAGTCTCAGTTTGCTACTCAGTCCTTCAATCTTAGTTTTTCTGCCACCTGTGGTCATTTTTCTGTCTCCTTTGCTGGATCTCCCTCTGCTGGCCAACCTCTAAATGTTCGATTGTCCAGGGCTTGGGCTGGACCACTTCGCTTTCATCCACTCTCATTCTCTTGGTGATCTCAGCCAGTGCCAAGGCTTTAAATATAATTAATAGGTCGATGATTCCTAGGTTTTTATTTCTAGCTTTGACCTTCCTTAGACTTCCAACATTTCCATTTGTATGTCATAGGCACAAGCCACCACACAATTAATATATCTCAAATAAAATTCTTGATTTTGCTTTTTATTCTTTCGTTCCTATTTTCAGTAAAGTGGGGTCTTCCTCCCACATCGCACATTGTAATTATCAGCGAGGCTCTGTCTTCAAATTACATCCCAGATTTGACCACTGCTCTCCCTTTCCCCTGGGTTTTGAAATAGCCTCCTATTGGGTCTCCCTGCTTTGTCTCTTGCTCTGATATAGCCTATACTCTGCCCTACAGCAGAGTCATTCTTTATAAATATATGTTAGATGTGGCCCCTGCCTACCCCTTCCCCCTCATTTCCTGTATTCTCTCTGTCCCTCCTGCCCCCCAGCCCAGTCTTCTTTGCCATTCTTAGAACACAGCAAGCAGACATCTGCCTCAAGGTTTTGGTCTTGCTGCTCCCCCTGTTCTCCTCTGCTTGGAATGTTTAATGACCTAAATGAAACAAGAGAATTCATTATTTTGTTACGATCTCTGTTCAAACTTTACCTTATCAGAAAAACTTTCCTTGATCTCTCCATCTATAATAGTAGTACCGGGCATTTTCTATCTTCTTGCTGGTTTTAATCAGAGTGTAATGTATTGTATATCTATTTGTATATTTCTTTGTTTGATGTACATCTCCTGAGGGACATATCAGCTCCATCAAGGCAGAGACATCATTGCTCTATCCCTAGTGCCTGGAACTAGGTGTTTGATAAATATTTGTTGAATTTTTGGAACAGTGACAGGTATTAAGGCCCACAAAATTAAAGGATATATAAGAATGAGAAAGATTAGAGGTAATATTTTTTTAAGTTAAGAAAACCTGTAAATGATAGATGAAAAGGGATATATGTGGAGAAAATTGTCTGGAAGAGGAAAAGGAAAGTGTCAGAATTCTTGGGTGGCTTTACACCTCCCTCTCCTCTTTACCATCTAAAGAGCGTTCCCTGTTGCAGTCACCACTGTGTTCAGAGCCAACGGGGAGACCAAGGAAAAGGCCTTCAGTGGATTTTGTGGGCCCTTGTCCGGGGCTTCAGAGGTGCCTTCAGGATGTGGGTGGGGGCTCAAAGTATTCCTAGAAAATTAAAATTAATGAAATAAAATGAAATTGGGGGCCTTATGTTTCCTAATCCAACACTTTTTGAAGCGTCACAGATGACACGCTGTGAATTTAACTCTTATGATGATGGTAATGATAATGATTTTTTTCATGTGTTGCTTTTCTGACTGTCCTTGATCAATATTTCATTTCCCAGTCCCCTTTAGAATTGTATGGAGAACGTTGATGTAATGGTTTCCCGTCTCTTGGGTCACTCCTCTGTAACGAGCACAGATACAGGTGTGGATTTATGGACCTCTCACTTAACACTGTTGTGAGTTCTACTCACTAATGTGGAAGAAGAACAGAAAGAAAACTGTGCCAACATAATAATTCTCTTGTTTAGTATTATGAGATAGAAAGAGATTGGAACACTCCTTTTAAATTCTGTTAGTGTTTCAGTGTGCTTTCTAACAGATAAATCTTTAATGATCTACAGAAAACAGGAAGAGGATGTTTCCTACCCTTGTAAGTATAAATATGTCTTTAACAAAAATCCGTATTACCTGAACTTTGACTCCCAGTAAACATGATGCGTGATAATCATCTGACGTAGCTGTGGTTTTGAAAGTTTAAAATGTGAGAATACGGTGGGCATGTAATCCCGCAAAGCCATATTGCTCAACTTTAGCTATAAAATTTGTGTGAAAAGGCCAATCATGATTGTTTTGTAGTGTTTGGGTCATTTCGAAAGATTCATTTGTATGCACTCACTGTATTTCTTCATGTTCCCTTCGCTTTCTTCTTGCCTAGAGGGAGAAGAAGATGAGGATGAAGAAGATGAGGAGGATAAAGATGCAGACTCCCTGGATGAGACCTTGGGTGGTGACACCGAGCTGCCTGGGTTTACTCTCCCCGGCATCACGTCTCAGGAGCCTGGCTTAGAGCAGGGAAACGTGGTCTCTTTGGAGGGAGCCACCTACCAGGTGCCGGACACCGTCGAGTGGGAACAGCAGAGTCAGGGCCTGGGTAAGAGTCATGTGTGTTTCTTTCCCTCCCATCTCCCCTCATTTTAGTTTTCTTAGGTGACAGCTTTCCTTCATTGGCATAGATTATGGAACAAAATGGATCTTCTGTTTATGGGTGTTTCAGCTGGGAAAAGGTTCTCAGTTCTTTCTTCACTATGTTTATATTTATGCTCTTCAATACTCAGGCTGCAGACAGTCTCCATCTGCCCACGAAGAGCACAGTTACCTAATTTTTGGAAGGAATTCCATCTTTCCTTCCCAGCTGGAGGACAGCTGTCGGCTTTGGGAGGACTTCCAAAGTGGGAGGAATTGTGTGTAGCCAGTCAGCTGCACAAGCAGCGTGAACGGAGTGGAGTCGGAAAACAAATGGATTTTGTCATCCTCTGTCCTTTTAGAATTTCCTCCCTGGGGAAATCCTTCCTTCACTTCTGGGTGAGCTTGCAGCCGTCCCAGGACTTTTCTGCTTGTTCTCGTGGTTGCATTTCATCATCAAATACAATCTTGTTTCAGCAGTTAGTGTCCAGACAGCTCCAAGCTTACTCTCTCTTGTGCCTGGCCTGGATGTTCGGTGAGAGTCTCCGCGGATGCAGGCTGACCCCAACTCTGACACTCTCTTCCTGTCAGCAGGGACGTTCCTCTGTCTGTCTCCTCTTACTTTTTTCTGGAGAGAGGCTATTATGCTCTGGGTGATTCTTTGAGGCCTCACTCTCTTGACTTGAGGGGAAGTGACCTCTTCTCCAAAGAAATCTCCTCCCTGAAACTCTTTTAGTTTTTAAAAGGCCCATTTATACCTTAAGTACAGCAGAGGTTAGATTTAAGGGTCATATAACCAGCGTTTGGAGTATTTCATTGAAAATTGGGATGTTGGTCTTCGACTTCGCTCTGGAATATCATACTAGTGTATCCTGGTGCCTCGGTTGAAACTTCCAATTCAGAATCTTATTACATATGATTTCTTAAATATTGTTCTCCTCTCCTCCCATGAACACTCTTTCAGATTAGTGATGAGGAAGGGTAAGTGCATTAAAATGAGTATGGAGTGGGAAAGTCGCATCATCTGTTTATCACACGATTGTGTAGTTTAAAACAAGCTCTCTCGCTTTTTTCAAAGCTCAGACTGAAGTTGGTAAACCTTTAAAGATTTGCAGTCAAAGGGGGAATCCTTTCCCTAATCTCTAAAACTAAGGAAACATGCATAAGGATCTTTAATGTCATCTTCTCTTCCATTATAGAATTCTTTCACGAGCTGTCCTTTAGATTTGGTTAATTAATTTATCCAAAAAATGGAACACCTACTATGTTCCTTTGCAAGGCATTGGAAACACAGAGAAAAACAAGGCAGTGCCTTTTATTGATTAGAGCAGAGCCCACTTGTAAAGGCTTCAGTGCAGGGTGGATGAATTCTATAATAAAAGTAGAGTTATAGGAGGCCAGAGCAGAAATGTAGAAGGGGGCCATTTAGAGTAGCTTGGAGAGATCAGAGCTGTCGCTTGAAGGATATATAAATAGGAGATAGCTTGCAGGAGAAAGAGGTCAAAGACAGAACATACACAGAGGCATTGGAGGGATGAAAGAGCATGGCATAATACAGATGGGTTGGCAAAGAACGTTGTAAGTGGGTAAAAAGAAGCTCTAGGAGATACAACAGCAGACAAGGCTGGAAAGGTAAGGTAAACAAGGATGCATCACGAAGAGCGGTGACTGCCAAGAGGCTTTCCCTTGTCCTTTATGAAAACCATTCTAGTGATAGTGCAATGGAGGAACAGGGGAGGAGCGTGAGATTGGGGAGAGAGAAAGGCCGCTTATGAGACCAATGAAATGTCCATGTGAGAAACGAAGGCGCGAACTAAGGCAGAGGAAGTGGGATGAAGAAAAAGGAGCCAACCTGAGAGCTTTTCGTCACGGGTACTAACTGATTTGGGGGGTTGAAGAAAAATAGAGAGTTGAGGATAATTTCTAGGTTTTTAGCCTGGGCGAACAGGTGGAGAGTGATATCTCTGATGAAGAGAGAGAATAGAGAGAGTGACGTGAACTTGGCGTATTGGGGAGATGATGAGCTAGTTCCGGGCACATTGAATACGAGGAGCCTGTGGGGTGTCCAGGATGGACTTCGATTTTGAGTCTTGAATTCAGGGAGGAAGTCTGCGACTGAGAAATTATTCTGGGATTATCACCCTCTAGGTTGGCATAAAGGTTGTAGTTGAAAGGTACCTGGGATTTCCTGTGGAATATGCTTATGGTAAGCAGAGGAGGTGATAAAGGATGGACTTCCACTGGACAGGCAGAAGGTATCATACATGTGCATACAACGCTGTATTTACTAAATCATTTCCTGAACAAATCCGGCATGTAATTGGGCAGTAATTACTTTAAAAACATATCAAATGAGGGCTTCCCTGGTGGCGCTGTGGTTGAGAGTCCGCCTGCCGTGCAGGACACACGGGTTCGTGCCCCGGTCCGGGAAGTTCCCACATGCCGCGGAGCGACTGGGCCCGTGAGCCATGGCCGCTGAGCCTGCGCGTCTGGAGCCTGTGCTCCGCAACGGGAGAGGCCACAACAGTGAGAGGCCCGTGTACCGCAAAAAAAACCCCGAAAAACAAAAAAAAATATCAAATGAAACTGCTAAAAGCTTATAAATATATCAAAATATTATAAAACAAACACAAACGCTGGCCTGGGAACATGTGAATAAATATTTAGTCTGAAATGCACCTGTTCTACATGAGCTGGTTGAGATCAATAAAATAAAATACAAAATACCAATGTAACTTATTATAGAGGTTAAACACAAAGACAAAAATCTACACATCAAGTGACTCCTCAGGTAGTGGATTTATAATATGGAAGGATCATGGACAGTTGGACAGTCTTTTAAGTATGGATTGGGTGAATATTTAGGGACTGTACCCCTTTACTGGAGAGAGGGTTGCTTTTGTACAGAGGTACTCTATGGAGGCCATATGGCATCTATTCCTGGATTGTGGTCCAGGAAGCCAATTTTCCCCACTTAGGAAGTTGGCTTACCATTTATGATAATTATAAGCAATTGGAGAGGCTATGAATCTTAGAAAAATCTGTAGCGGTTACAATTCAAGGGTAACATGATCATTTGGGCTCTAGCCTTTTTCAACACAAATTTACCATTGAAGAAGAGTCAAATTTTTAAAAAATTGACTTTATTGAGGTATAAATTATATACGATAAACTGCACTCAGAGTATGCAATTCGATGAGTCTTGACAGTTGTCAAGAGGGAGGCTACACTCATGTGGCCTCCATCTCACTGAAAATGCAGAGTATTTCCATCACTTCCCTTTTGTCCCCCCAATGATTCCTCATGCCCTTTGCAGTCTGTCTCTCGCTCAGTCCCCAATCCCTGGTAACTACTGATCTACTCATATTACTACAGATTAGAGTGCATTTTCTAGAATTTTATATAAGCGGAATCATATAATATATACCTTTATGTACCTGGCTTCTCTCACTTAGCAAAATGATTTTGAGATTCAACCATGTTGTGGTCTGTATCAGTAATTTGTTCCCTTTTTATAGCTGGGTAGTATTCAATAGTATGGATATACCACATTTTGTTTATCTAGTCACCTGTTGATGAACAGTTTTTGGCTAATAGCAGTTACATTTTAAGGTGTGTAGGGTAGGAGGCACAGGACAAATAGCCCTATTGTCCCCCTGTCCTGCCTCCTGATTCCAGCCTCCATGCATGGCTAAGGTTTCTTAAATTAGTGATACCAATTGAGTGATTTGCTATGCTTTTTAAAGTGATTTCCCCAAGTCCTGAATTTTTATTTCATATCAGATTTTTTCCTTTTAATAAAATTTACCATTTTCCTGGTTGTCTCCTACCTTTTACTTTCACTTCTTTTCCTGATATCTTCCGTTTGCCAACATGTTTTTAGCATTGTAGTTTTCGTGGGAACCAAAATAAGGAACAAATTTTTCAAGCCCTTCCTTTTTTTCCACTGTGGGAAGACTGGGTTGGAGTAGTAGTGTCCGGGTCTAGGATTTTATTAGCTCACCAACTTTTTCTTGGAGGGACAGGAGTATTTCCTAGTAACTCAAAATAAGTGACAACTTCTGGATCAATGTTCATTGATACAGTTTCCTAAATGTTCTCAGGTCACGTGCAATAGAGGGAAACGTCCCCTATTTGTGATGGATTTCGTGGTACCAAGAATAACGGCTCTTGCTGATATGATTAGGTTAAGGATCTTGGGAGGGAGAGGTTATCCTGGATTTTCTGCAAAGGCCCAGTGTGATCACGAGTGTCCTTATAAGCGAGAAGTATCAAGTCAGAGTCAGAGAAGGAGATGTGATGACAGAAGTAGAGGTCAGAGTGATGTGGCCATGAGCGAGGAATTCTGGCAGCTTCCAAAGCTGGAAAAGGCAAGGAGATGGATTCTCCCCTTGAGCCTCTAGAAGGAACACAACCCAGCTGACACCTTGATTTTTAGTCCCTCAAGACCCATTTTAGACTTTTAACCTCCAGGACTGTAAGGTAATAAATTTGTGTTGTTTTGAGCCCCTAAGTTTGTGGTAATTTGTTACGGCAAAAATAGGAAACTAATACAGATTTCAATAAGTATTTCATGAGCAGCTTCCTTTTAGAAGTAGAGCTTGCGTGGCAACTGTAGTCTGAGTGTGAGTGTTGTAAACTTAACTATAGTTTTTTCTTAATGAATCACTAAAAATGCAAAGATTGAGACCTTTAAAAAGTAATCCAGTTTAATATAATTATACTTTAATTGGTCATCTTATTCATTCCTATTTTTAAGTGGGTTATTTTTATTTATAGACTATCACATCCTATTTTACAATATGAATGGTATTCCAAAGCAAATGCTAAAACCCATAGAAACCTTTAAAAATGAACAGATTGAAGTGGGTAGTTGGGATTGGCTAAAAATAATACATACTCTTTGAATAGATTATCGTTTCATTTTCTGTGAAGTAACAAGAGCAGAAAACTTAGATGACTTTCTGAGGCAAAGCAGTAGATCCATGGCTTAATTCTGTGCACTTCTGTTTTCTGTATCGTCACATACACATTGCCTGTAAAGCTCTGGAGAGAGAGAGCCCAATTTCTTGATCTTGCTGTTGGGAGGTGTGATTGTGGACTGAACTATAGAGGACAGAGAATCAGGAGTGAAAGTTCCATGTTATGACTGAGGTGCATTGATTGGTAAAGTGCTAGTAGCATATAGGAAGCTCTTTATTTACATATGCAGAATCAATTTCTTTTCTGATCTAACAAGTTTATTTTCTTTTTTTTTTTTAACAAGTTTATTTTCAAATTTATTGGTAAGAACCTGTACAGAGAGCAGGTACTGTGACCCCCCCACACCACTTCTTATCCTTTCACTATAATAAATCACACGATTATTCTTTTAAAAGTATAAAATCAATATGGGCAAAGTTGAGTCAACATATCTTTTTTTTTTTTTTCCTTTTGCGGTATGCGGGCCTCTCACTGTTGTGGCCTCTCCCGTTGCGGAGCACAGGCTCCGGAAGCGCAGGCTCAGCGGCCATGGCTCACGGGCCCAGCTGCTCCGCGGCATGTGGGATCGTCCCCGACCAGGGCACGAACCCGTGTCCCCTGCATCGGCAGGTGGACTCTCAACCACTGCGCCACCAGGGAAGCCCAACATATTCATTTTAATGTTTAAACATTTGCAGTGTAATTAATGTCTGGTGATTCTTTCCTCTGTGCATTCTGTATCTGCTAGGATGCCTTTAGCTATACGTAGCAGAAACCTTAAGTTGACTTAAAGAGTAAAGAAATATATTTTCTCTGAAAACAAGAAGTCCAGAGATGGAGCTCCTGGGTCAGTTGACTCAGTAGTTCAGCTGTCATCAGTGACTCATGTTTTTCCACCTTGCTGCACTGTCCTCCTTGGGATGTTCACTTTGGCCCCAGGCTCTCCTCCGTACAGTTGCAGTGGCTGAAGCAGTTTCAGATGTCACACCTAGACAAGACATTGTTCAGACAAAGAAGAGCACTGTCTTTTTACTGTGTTTCTTTCTCAGGAGAGAGGAAGACTTTCCAAGAATCCCCCAGTAGAATTCTCACCACTGATCGGCTGGGATTAGGTCACATGCTCATTTCTAAGCAATCATTGGCAAGGGGAATGTGATCACATGACTGGTGGAATGGATGGGGGCATGTGTCAATCACTATACCTATCTATGATTTCTGTGTTTTTCTGTTTACTTCTCTTGTGGCTGGTTCTTATCCACGTTTCTTTTATCTTCCAAGAATCCTGTGACTAATCTTGTTAAACTAATATATTTATCATCTTAAATATGTTTTGAATTCATGAGTTCTGGATGAGGGCCCGAGGGTGGTGGTATTGTTCCAAGAAGAGACCATTTTTTGGCCACTTTATGGTTTGGTTGATGTTCTGAATAGATAAGGCTTCTAAAAGCCATCAATTAGTTAAGTGCAGAATTACTATAGCTGTCTTCACATTTTATTCAAAAGCCTGCATCTAACATTGGGAGGGGTTCCTGATTTAGGAAGTGGAATATTTTTCTCTGGAGGTCTTTAAAAAACATGATAAGTATTCAGTTAACAGTATAGAGCTGTTTGTGGAAAGCAGAAGAATGAAGAGCATTCATGTTTCTAGTTTTTCACCAGACATTCATAGAGCTAAGGGTGTGATGTATGTTGTGGAAAGAGTGAGAGGTTGACCTGTAAAGAGATAAATTGCCATGGGGCAGAGAATGGTTCTATAGATGTGAGGCCAGTGGCTGAGCGATTACACAGTGGGGAATTGAATCATCATTTACAACCAGGGGTTTCTTTGAGTGGGCAGCCATCTTTGGGGTGTGACTTCGGGAGTGCTTGTGTGATCTCTAATTTATATCCCCCTCCCCATTTGAACATGGTGCCTACTCTTCAATATTAAGAGCCTTCCTTTGGATTGCAATAATATGTCTTGAGAAGGCCTTACAAAAATGCAGATCTGCTGTCTGGATAGGATAACCCATAAGATGTTATCATGGATTTATTATTATTTATCAGGTTCATTACCTGGTGATTTAGGATGATTTTAATATGAAAGAAAGAGAATGTGTTTTGAATTGGTAGAAAGGTAGAATGAACTGTAGGCAAAGGTGAGGGGGTTCGGCCTTAGAGAAACTGAGCATTGGTCTGTGAGAAAGTCAGAGCCTTTGTCCTCAAACGTGTCAGCTCTTCTCTTTCTTCTCCCCATCATCCTTCTTGTTCTTTTAGAACACTTAACATGTAGCTAAGACTGAACACTTAAATATAGTGCAACACGGGCTGTGACAGCAAGAAAAAGATGCTGCATAAAAGATAGTGGGAAGTGTGAGACTTCAAACAACTCTTCACTGCAACAAATTTGAGTGTATTTTGGCATATAACGTGCTAAGCTGTGTATTATGAGGTTGCTCAGGAAGTTGCCGGGCTAACGTGGTTAAATATGTGTAAGGAAGGAGAAGGAAAGAAACCTTAATCCAGTGTAACCAGCACGATGTGAGTGGCAGATTGGCTAAAGCCCCCTCACCAGTGCTTCTCACTCTTGGCTGGAACCCCCTGGAGAGCGACACAAGATACTGATACCTGGGTCCCACCCACAGAGCACAGCGGCCCTAGACTGGGTCTGCTGGTTGTTCCCTTGGGGTGAGGCAGCTTCTGTTTGTGAAGGGGCTGGAGAAAGAGGATTGTCAGAAGTGTTCTGTGCTCTATGAATTGAACTTCCATTAGTAAAGATTTACATTGCTTGTAATGATCTTTTGTGTATTGGATTAGTGTGCCTTAAAAAAAAAATCCAGCTTTTTACAGTCATATTGAGATTAAAGTCAATATCCATGGTTTAGTTTTCCCAGAAAGCCCATGGTCACGTTGATTTCGGATGCACGTAGCAGTAAGTGGCAGCTTGCAGCATGCAGCACGAGCGGTAGCTGGAAGCAAGATCTTAGTTCCCGGACCGGGAGTCCTAACCACTAGACCACAGGGGGCAGTGGCTAGGGCCTGGATCCCTAATTCTTGCCTGCCTTGTCAAGAATGAATTCACGTGAGGAGGCAAAAGGTAAAGAGAAAAGTAAAAAGTTTATTGGAAAAGCAAAGTACATGTGGAGAGATGCACGGGCAAACTCAGAGAGAGAGTCGCACCTTTGGGAAATACTTAAATTCTTTATAAAAGGTCAGTTTTCCAGGTCTTTGTCTTCCTTCTGGCCAATCATCTTGTTTTGTCCCCCCTGGCTAATTTGTCTCAGGACCCTCCCCTTAGGTGCGCACGCACCTTTCAGCCAAGATAGATCTTGACGTGAAGGCGTCTGGGAGAAGCAAGTCTCGCTGTGGCCTGGCATTGTCCCCTGACTTTTGACCTGCAAGGAGCCTTTCTGCGCATGTGTAGTGTCTCCCTTGCCCCAAGGATGGGAGGTATATGGCCTCTTGATCCTATACTCAGACAAGGTCTGGCTCCTCTCTGCTCCTGCCACAACTGTTATCTTAAGGCGTCCACAAGAGACAAAGCCTGGCTTTTTACCCTGTTTCAGTTGTTACGTCCATTTTGGGGTGCAAACAGGAGGCTGACTGTAAATGCCTAACCTGGAGCCCACCTATCTCCTATCTCAGGAAATGTAAACAGGAGGCTAGTTGTGAGTGTCTGGCCTGAAGCCCACTTTTTCCTGCTTCATGAAATGTAAACAGGAGGCCAGCTGTAAGTGTCTTACCTGGGGCCTGTCTGCCTCCTGCCTCAACATGACAGACTTCTAAATCTGTACCATGGAGATCTGTACCCTGACCTCTGCATCTGGAATGAGTGAGCATCTCCAGATGTGAGTTTCCTTGAGTAGGCACCTGCCTTGGAGTTACTTGGAGTTCTTTCCTGTCCTCAGATGGTACGCAGGGTTTCTGGGTTTAAGAGTAATGCCATTTACTCTTTCTTTGGAAAGAACTGAATTATTTTTCTGAGACAAGAGGAGCAGAACTGGGGTGTAGACCTCCTTTTTCCACATTAGGCAGGACACACTGATGCCAAAGTTTAAATTAGAGATTGTGATCCCTGCCTCTCCCCACCTCAGGAGAATGAGTGCTTAAGGGATGTTAGGTCTGCAGAGCAGGATGCCTTCCAAGTCCAAGAAATCATTTCTTCATCGATCTTTCCATTTGAGCCGTTGGTTACTTGCAGATTAGCAGTAGTTGGAGATTTCTAGGGGAGAAAATCTGTCCCCATGCCTGTGGTGAAAAATATGACAAACTCAGGATTTTAGGTTTTAAATGCATTTATTTCCTGAGTTTTCCATTTATTTATTTTTAACCTGTTATATTGTAGGTATTTTTGTTAGAAGCCATACATCCTCTTTTGAGCCTGGGGTAGGTTATAAGTAGGTTAAATACATAAAAGTGAATAGACTTCCTTCCTGCTGCCCACTTCCAGCCGTGCTCGCAGATATGTTCTGAGGACACCTGTCTTGAACCAAAAATCAAAAAGATAGCTGGCCAAGGCTAAACAAGACCAGGTTCTGGCCTAAAAAGAATGTAATGTATTCTGGGTTTTTTTCTTTCATTTTGGTGTTCATGACACTTCTGATGAGCAGTTATGTATAATGGCTACAGTCAAACTTTTATATTCCTTCAGCATAGGAAATGTTAAGTCATTTGGAAGGAGGAAAGGATTGATGGCATGGATGACTTTGTGGGTTGTGTTAAATTTTCTTTTTAGGACTGACAGTTAATGATTTTTCACAGCTATATGTAGGACTTTTGCACCAAGAATTTCAGGCAGACTGGAATTGAGGCTTTGAAATTCATTAATTCCAAGAGTGGTAGAACTCAGATCATTAACACACACACACACACACACACACACAGAGTTCCCTTTGCCCGAGTCAGCTGTGGGACACTGCAAATTCCCTTATTCTCCTCCAAAGATTTCTTTTGAGAAAACTAGTGAAGAGTCAACTCTAAGTCTCAAACACTAATGAGGGAAACTAGAAGAACAGAGTTAGTGGAGAGCACAGTGGCAGCCACAGCCCCATCTGCAGCTAACTCCCCTATGCATAAACCTTCCCTGGGGATGTTCCTGTGTGGAGGAAGGGAAATCAGTCTTCGTTGTTAAAACATTGATCTTTGTGCCGCTGGGTCTCTCCAGTACTTTAGTAGTAGGTTCTGTGTGATCTCAAAGAACTGCCAACCTCTCAAACTGGCCTCAGGAAGCCAGAGCTATTTTTGAAATTCAGAGGATTGGTGGTGCGAATTAAAAATACACCACAGCAGAAGTGAAGGAGAGATTGAATATAAAATCAAGGAATCAGAGATTTTCATCAGGTAACTCAGGGATTCAACAGTTCATGGGTAGGAAGCATTTCTTATAAGTGTATTTGTTTCTTTTATACACCCCTGATATATTCAAGGACCTCCAGGGTCTGTCTGGGGTCTATCTTCCCTCCTCGTTTCTCTCGACTGCTTTGTCCAAGACGTCTGCCTTCAGCGGGCTGTAATCACTGTCACCAGAACATGCATCAGACATTTCCGGACCTGGCATTTTTTTTCTACCATTATTCTTTTTTCCTGGGATGGTCTTCTCCATTTTCTGTCTGTCTGCCCCCACCCCCCGCCCCGGCTCTCGCTGAAGCCTTTCCTGGCAACCCTAACTCCCACTCAGTCCTCCCCTGTGAAACTCCCCCAGCCGTTCTTGGCAGTAAGGCTCATTTCCACTCCACTATCTCATTTTGCTTAGGACTTTTTTGGAAGTGCACAATATCTAGTACTCAGCATTGAGTACTGTTGATTGATGAAAAGGGGGTTCTCTTCCAGCTGGTAGCCATGCTGGACCTGAAGGGGACGGGACGGGAAGGGGCATGTTAAATGGAGTTAGTTGGATTTGTGGAAAAAATGGTAACTGATCAGGTGCTGAGGGTTCTCCATAATGCTTATAACTGAGATTAAACTTAAATATCACATGACAGGTAGGACTTCCTGTGATCTTAACTTGCTCTGGTTCTCTCTACTTACTTCAAAATAGTTTTTACATCTACAAAGCCTTTAGTAATGAACTAATTATAGCATGCCTTCAGGTCATCGGCCATAGATAACATTTTGAGGCTAGGTTTTTTTCTGGAACATAATCTAATGTTTTATTTTATTTTTTCCAGCTGTATTGATTAACATAACATTGTGTGCAACGTGTTTATTTGATAGGCTTATATACTGCAAAATGATTACCATCATAGCATTAGCTAACACCTGCACTGTGTTGAGTAACTACCTTTTCTTTTTTGTGGGCAGCAATCTAACATTTTAGAATGGGTTTTTAGAATGAGCTTGGAGTGATTCTACACCGTTTAATGAGCAGACCTTGAAAATGCTGGGCCAGCTACCTTCATTACCTTCGAATCTGAATCAGATGAGAATCAAATGATTGCATTCTCGTAGTGATCAATCATTTAAAAAACTTCCAAATAGCTAATTAGGTGCCTTAATAGCGATAAGGCCTTTGATAGCTTCTGCCGAAGAATAAAAGCAGCCATGGCATCATCTACATGGAAGTGAGAAATTTATTAAACCTGATTCGCTTTGCCACCGGATCATTGCTTCCCTGAGTCAGAGAACTGAGTTGTCTTTTTGTATCTCACTTCTGGCTGGAAGAAACTTATAGTATTTTAAATGTTTTAGGGTTCTGTTTTGAACAAATTTTTTCTCTTTTCATGTCTTTAAGGCCCTTTAAAAGGCCCTGGATCGTAGGTTCTTGTATCAAAGGTTTAAAAAAAAAGTAAATTTGGACTTCTTGATTTAGGAAGAGCCTTCTGGAACTAAAGCCAAATATCTCAGCTTCACATCATTCATCTTTATTTCTGTTAATGATCTGTGTGAGATAATAGACGTAATGCTTTCCAGAAGTTGAAGCCCTTATCTGTATTTTCATGATTAAACTATATTGAATTAGAGAATTGGAAAAAAAATCACATTTCATTCATTAGGAATGAATTTCTTATGTGAAAATTCAGCAGTCACTTTTCCTTTGGAGAGCTAAAAAAGGATTCTTGGAACTAAGCCAGAAAATCATCTCTTCATCAGCTACAGTTAATATAAACATTGATAAGGCACATTATATCTGAGGAGAGTACTCTGAACTAATTTCTTTGTAATCACAGTGCACTCGTAGGCTCAGCTGGGGAATTAGTAACATATGAAAACATCTAGTAGGCTCTTCTGGGAATTAAGAAATACAGAGAGGACTGCAAAAAAATTTCAGAAATGAAGAAACTGAGTATAAATTGTCGTCTTTGAAAAATACAGAGGAAAGTAAACAAAGATGATGTTAAAAAGCTTCCAGGGCTTCCCTGGTGGTGCAGTGGTTGAGTCCACCTGCCGATGCAGGGGACAGGGGTTTGTGCCACGGTCCGGGAAGACCCCATATGCCGTGGAGCGGGTGGGCCCGTGAGCCATGGCCGCTGAGCCTGCGCGTCCGGAGCCTGTGCTCCGCAATGGGAGAGGCCACAACAGTGAGAGGCCTGCGTACCGCAAAAAAAAAAGAAAAAAAGTTTCCAATTATGTTAAAACAAAATTGAGAAAGTAGTGAAAACAGTGTCCTTATCTCTTGATTTGAAGTTACATGATGCTAAAGTGAATTAATCAAATGTTATAGGTCTGCTGTGTTAAGAATCTGGAATATTTGTAGTCTCCCCAGTTTGATTTGTCTTCCTTAATTTGGATCAGAGAAAGAATGCACTTAACTTTTGCATTTCAGAAAATAGAGCAATTCAGTAATTTCCCCCTCTCTACTGAGATCATAAAAAGAAGATGCTAAATCCTCAAAGCTTAGCTTAGTGATCAGGTGAGGTTGAAGTCAGCCAGTTCATTTCATTTCAGCATTTGAGAATTAACGACCACGGAGTTCTGATTTTCCAACTAAGAACTTTTCTGATTTTCTGTTGGACAGAAAGATTTTTTCACAGAATCTGGCACAAAATATAGATATGTGTCCAACAAAGAATGCCCAGTTTCAATTCATGTGAAGAATCTTTAAAATAAACTTTACAAACATCCAGATTATCAAGACCCAGGGAAAGAATTTAAAACAGAGGAGTGTTTACAGCTGAGGGAATTGTGATTTATGCTTTCCACCTCTAAGTTTTCCTGCAGGGCTGAAATCTTTCTGAAATAATGGGATTTGAATTTCAAGCTGCTCCTCTTGAAAGAGGACAGCAACTGTCTGGAACAGGATGGCTTTGATGAATCCTTGGGGATAAATGCTCCAAGTAATGTCGGCAGCTTCCAACAGCATAAGGTTTGATATGAAGTCAGCCACAGGCACCAGGGTAACTACCACCTTGTTTATCACAAGCTTGATAAAGTATTGCACATCCTGCAGGACCACGGCCTTGGGCTTCTGAGCCCTGCCATGTGGGAAGCGGGTGGGTGATGGAGGCCATGCACACAGAGCTAAAGTGAAGAGCTGTCACTAGGTAGGCCTTACTATTCAGGGCTGAGCCACAGAAACCACAGATAGTTCTAAAAACAAGTCATTTACTTAATCCACTAATGAAAAGGAGGTAGGGGAAAACCATGGAAAAAATCATGATGCAGGGGAAGTTTGTTGTGTTCTATTTTCTTCCTCCTCCTCCCTGGTCATCATCCTTATCATCCTCGCTTTCCACCCTTCCTTTCAGCACTGGTAGTGGCCACCAGGACTGCCCTGGGATCCAAAGAGGCTTCAGTCTTCTCTTAATCCCTTTCACTATATCAGAACACTCTTTCTTTAAGAACATGGTTTAAAGACTTTGAGGGACCGTCAATAATTCATAGTTGTTAAAAGATATATTTTTATTTATTTATTTTAAAATAAATTTATTATTTATTTATTTTATTTTTGGCTGCGTTGGGTCTTTGTTGCTTTGCGTGGGCTTTCTTTAGTTGCAGCAAGCGGGGGCTACTCTTTGTTGCGGTGTGCAGGCTTCTCATTGTGGTGGCTTCTCTTGTTGGGGAGCACAGGCTGTAGGCGCACGGACTCAGTAGCTGTGGCTTGCGGGCTCTAGAGCGCAGGCTCAGTAGTTGTGGTGCATGGGCTTAGCTGCTCCGCGGCATATGGGATCTTCCCAGACCAGGGCTCAAATCCATGTCCCCTGCATTGGCAGGCGGATTCTTAACCACTGCGCCACCAGGGAGGCCCCCAAAAATATATTTTTAAAGAAGATGTAATTATGATTCTTGATATAAAATGAACATGTGTCAAAGATTTTTAAAAGCTTATTAATTAATAAAGGAACCAGGCGGATGCCACAACTTGTTCAAAGGAAAGATCAAAGAATCACAAATTTACGTGGAGTCAAGGACTGTTTCAAATTTGACTCCAACTAAACCATAAAATTTGCAAATCACTTGTGTCTTGTCAAATAAACTCAAACTTTTAAACAACAACAACAACAAAATTTACAAATGGATGCATGACAGACTTTTTCCGAGATATGAGGGCTGTTTCTCCACTGGACAATTAATTTTCTCGTCTAGAGAAGAATTATTTGTATGGCTATCAGTTATCTGCAATTTAAAGAGTTGTGAAAGAGTCCAAAGGTGATTCAGAGCCCTAAAGGGAATCAGATAATTCTCAGGGGCTCCAACACTCCATTAAAAGAATATTCAGTAATGTCTTCCTTATCTCAAAGAATACCTTGTAGCCCTAATTTGTTTGGAAGCATTTTATTGTAAAAGAATACATGTTAACTGAAAGAACTGAATGGTAGACTTTGGATAAATGGGGATGTATCTGTCAGGGAAGGTCAGTTGCTGTAACAAAC